CGTGGAAGGCAAGCTAGGCAATATGGATATGCATATCTCCTCCTTTGTAACCGACCTTGTGTAACCCTAGCCTCCTCCGGTGTCTATATAAACCGGAGGGTTTTAGTCCGTAGGACAACATACAATCATACCATAGGCTAGCTTCTAGGGTTTAGCCTCTCTGATCTCGTGGTAGATCTACTCATGTACTACTCATATTATCAAGAACAATCAAGCAGGACATAGGGTATTACCTCCATCAAGAGGGCCCGAACCTGGGTAAAACATCGTGTCCCCTGCCTCCTGTTACCATCCGCCTAGACGCACAGTTTGGGACCCCCTACCCGAGATCCGCCGGTTTTGACACCGACAAGGGGCGAAACCTAATCCCTCTGCCGCACCTCCCCCCTTCTTGATCTCCCCTCACCGCCACCGGAGGCAGCCGCCGGTCAAGCTTGGTGTGCTGCTAATGATGGTGGCGGCGGGGTCCTCACTGCCTCGCCTCGCTTGCGGGGGGGCTGCGGGATTTGGGGCGGCGGCCCCGACTGGTGTGGCGCCTCCAGCCCTTCGGCTTCTGGTGGCGCGGGCGTGGGCCTGCAGTCTTGACCGTGCGGACGATGAGACCTCCGGAGGATGCGGATTTGGGTGCGGCGACGGCTCCGGCTTCCGCGGCGTCAGATCTGGCCGCCTCCACACCAACTCTCTTGCGGCCCCTCCAGATCCGGCCTGCTACGGCTTGGGGGGCTGGTTTCGGTGGGTGGGAGCGGATGGTGGGGTTCCAAGACCGGGGGAAACCCCTAGCCAGCCTTGCTGGCGCGAAGGCGGCGACGCCCGCGGGCGCCGCTCACCTCCTTGGAGGCGACGGTCAGGTCCTGTCCTCCCCATCCCATGCCTCCTTGCTTCCCGGGTGAAAACCCAAACTTTGTTGGACAGCGGCGACGCCCCAGGCGCCGTAATCTTCTTGAAGACGCTGTTTTTGGGAACAAGTGGGGCGGTGGGCTTCGGTGTGGTGCGGTTTGGTGTGCGACGGCAGCAGCAAGTCTCCAGCGGCAGCCATGCCTTCCCTGGTGCGGGGTTCAGTTATGGTGGTGCTCTTCGTGCGGCTGTTGTGAGGGCCTCCGGTGCCGTGGATCTCTTGGAAGGGAGGGGATAGGGTTCCCCTCCTCCGGTGGTTCCCTCCCCAGCTCGCCGAGGGTGCCAGAGCTTCTGAGTTTTGGTCTTGGCCCTTGTTGTTGCCCTTCATCCTGGCAGCTCACCCTCTTTCTCGCCCGATCTTCGGTTTTGGGGCTGCTTGGCTCTAGGTGAGTCGCTGTCGACAAGTGAGGAACGCCTGGTTCCGCTCCTGTGGCTGCCTTGGGTGCCATTCAGGCAGTTTCTAGGGTGAACTAGTCCATCGCTCAATGGTGCGGCGCCTTTTGAGCCAGGCGAGGAGGCAGGGACCTCCTTTGACGATGGAACTGTCTAATTGTGTTCTCCACAAGTCCCTGGTGTTCTGGCAATGGCATGCCTCTCATCGTCGTCGTTTCCTTGCCCTGAACCGGCAGTTTCCTTCCCCATGGTTGCGTGTGTGCAAGAGGTCCCTAGCATCTCCTAGCTATTAGCTTCACGTTGATCCGGTATCTAGCGGGTTGTGTGCTATGTGAGCTGTCTCCCAACGCCTTTGTATCTTTGCCGTGTTTTCTTTTCTTTTCTTTGTGTGGTTTGTCGTTGTATTCTCTGTAATCCTGGCCGGTTGATGGCTTTGTTAATTCAAAGCCGGGCTCTTCTTGAGCCTTCGTTCCAAAAACAAAGAGCGAGTAGGAGGGGGGGGCTCAATAAAAGCACCACCATCAATCACAGATGACAATGAAGCCAAATAACTAAAACACATACTAACACTGAATATTAGAACCATATATAAGGGGAAATAAAACAAACTGGGGTGATCATACACAAAATTCACATTATTACTACTAAAAGAAATCGAAACCTGCTACTTCATCTAATCAAGCTAAATTGAAGCGGTCGCCAGGGCGATCGTAGCAAGCAGATCGGAAGTGCCTCCTAGCGACCTCGAAGCTGAGCCGAGCGTCAACCGCGGCATATCTGATCCGCTCAAAGGTCAACGGGAACACACCCCATCCCGACCTCCTTAACTTCTCGCACTCCCCGTCCTTGGTGAGCTTCCTTCCCAGCAGGTAGTTTGCCAAATCAATCAACGACGGCGTAGGCTTGCTGCAGACGTTCTTTGGAATCTCGACACGCTGCTGCAGGTCGAAGGAAGACGCGATTTTCAGCCCGTAGTAGGCCAGCATCTCCTGGTCCTGGCTGATCCCGGCTCCGCAGAAGACGATGTCCTTGTCGGCGAGAAACCTCCTCAGCATTGCCGGTACGTGCCCCACGTGCACGATGTGGTACACCAGGCACTCGTCGGCGACGCAGAGCTGGAGCACGGCGGCGCGTTGCCTCTGTTCATTGGGCAGGTCCTTCTGCCTCTTCCCGAAGACGGGGTTGGTGAACTCGGTGTCTAGGCCGACGAGCTTCTCGTCGGCGTCCCGGAGGAAGTTTGTCCACACGCGCGATATCCGCGCCTCCACCGTGGCTGCTCGTACGGTGACGGTGGCTTTGATGCCGATGCCCTGCGAGTCGAAGTGGTAGGGCATTTCGTCCTTGTGTGGCGGCTGACGCGCCATTTGGAAGCAGCTAGCGAAGGTGGCGACGATGATGATGATCCCTGTGCGGCGGCAGGCAGGCGTATGACTCGAGAAATAAGGGTCGAAATAATGAAAGAAGATGGTTGTATGCGTCCTGATCGATTCGCCAAGTATATATAGAGCATGCATGCATGCATGTTCTCACGTGTAGCACTAGGTATACCGTATACGAGTCGGATTGGGAGTTGCCCTCCAATCCTGAATCGGACACGCACACGAGTTGGGTCGGGAGTTCCCTCCGGATTCCATCAGCATATGCACTACGTGCTCCCCAAGACAGCAATTAGTTATTGAGGCCTTGATCGATTTCGCTCGGCGACGGCGGCACCTGTTGTGCTGGACGACTGGCAGAAAGGATACAGCGTCTCTCGTTCCTGCGACGGCTCCGGCCACCAACCACCGGAGCCGGAGCCTTTGGCGGACGGAGCCACCGGTGGCACGCCGGCAACTCACACGCCTTGGCGGCGCACGTCGGCAAGATCGTGCCCATGAAGCCCCACAACGTGAGCCCCGACCGCCGTGGGCGTACGTCCTGCCATGGCCGGGATATCGCATGGCCCATTCATATTTCAGTTTTGCAGAAACACTTCAAGTTTCAGAAACGCCATGATACTGAAATATTTGGCATTCTGGATCTGAAAATCATGTTGTTGGAATAGATGCATGTTCATCTCTCAAAGAAATCTTATACCAATGAAATAAATGAAAGCTCTTCTGATTTCTCAACTGCTCTATTACTCAAGTGTATCAACGGAACTGACAATTTATCATCACTTGTTTCAGACCCAATTTGCATACACGTAGACTATACCGCCAACGCCAACATCTTCTAAAAAAAAACTATGTATACCAAATTGCCCACTCTTCAATTGTGTAGCGAAAACAGATGCTAAACTACAAGATTGGGTTAAGGCGGGCCATGTCAGCACCTGACGCAGGCCGATTTTCGCGTACCGAATTCCCTGTGAGATTAAGAAGCACTTGAATCATAAGGACCCAGCAGCATAACTGAAGTTGGGCTAAACATACCTCTGTTAAGAAGTGAGCTCTCAACAATAATCAAGAACTGAAATTGTAAGAAAGCCTTCACCGTCTATCTCTTGTTAGAACTGAAAATGCATACACTGAAATGAACAGGACGGTGACGGGGAAAGAGAAAGTAATGGGAGTTGTTCCAGTAATGAAAGACAGAATTTGAATAGAAATTCTCAATGTGTATGTCAGTTTTGAAGGTTGTACTATTTCTATATTTTTATTATCTATACATAGTGTACCAGTCTTAAGTTGAACTAAGAGCATCAATCATAACCGTTAGTCTTCTAAATCCAAGGGCCAATATCAGCAGGATTCGCCTGAACAATAGACTGTTGCTATCTCTATTATGTTCTAGAACAATCATGTGGCCCTTCAAGAAAGAAGAAGCCCAGCAGGATTCGCATGAACAATAGACTGTTGCTATCTCTATTATGTTCTAGAACAATCATGTGGCCCTTCAAGAAAGAAGAAGCCCATAAACTGGTGCCTAATGGGTTGTTTTACCACATGACCGCACGAAGGTCTGATTGAGCCCAGGCAAGATTGTTTAGTAGGAGAACATGGAGAAAGTAAAGAACCATGCTGTTTTTCCATAAATGAACATATAGTGTTTTGGCATGAATACTACTTCCTGCTTTTATAATACTCCCTCCGTCTCAAAATAAGTGACTCAACTTTGTACTATCTTTAGTACAAAATTAGTACAAAGTTGAGTCACTTATTTTGGGACGGATGGAGTATTTAACTACTATCAGCATTCGTACATCACTGGTCTTTTTTGCTTTGAATCTATCACTTTTTCTAGGGAAGGCGTTTTGGCTCCCAGGAGCACAAGCTCCCACGTGAACAGTAACCCGAAAAAACGGTAAATGTTTTAATAAGAATTCTAAAAAAAATTAGATGTTTGTGTTAGTGTCGCAAGTATGCTTGATAATTTTCATGCAAAATGGAGCAGCGGTGTTTCGTCGGTGAAAAAAAAAATCAAATTTGGGGTGACATTTGGTGTTCAATTCATTTTTTTTGGCAGGCCAAAATGCTTAACCTTTTTGTCTTAAAATTTGTAGATAGCATTTGGATGTGACAATGAACACATAAAAATTTTGTTTGGATTTTTTGTCATTTCAAAAATAATTTTCACGCGCAGGAGCACGTACAACCGGGAGCCAAATTGGACTTCCGACTTTTTCCCCTTTTGATCAGAGTCACTCTGTTGCATACATACTAGTATATAGTAGATGACATTACGTGACTGCTGGAACAAGAAAATCGAACAGCTCGGTTTATTTCGGTTACCTAGCCCCCCTGTAATCTTTGGACCCTCTCTGCTTCTTCTCTGATACAAACAAGGTTGGTTTTGATCTCTTTGCAGATCCTTCCCTCCAGTAGCCTAACTGGAACCCAGAGCTTAGGCTCCAGCTCCACCACATAAGAAAGCATAGTCTGAAATTCCTGGCTAATCGGAACTTCCCCACCTTCGTCAGTAGTAGCATCGACCTACACGGGATCAAAGTGCGAACCAGATTACTTAGATGAGTCTCAGAGTCATGCATGGCCATCAATTATACAATGATCCAATAACTTACAGAAACATCAGTTGACCAAACATAGTGCATCTATAATTCTACAGCACTAGCAGTATAGTAACAATGAACCATATTCCCTGTTTAACACCCTGGGCTGCTCGACATGGTTCATCGACACATATACACCCTGGGCTGCTCTATGAAATCAGGTGATCCTGCTTTGAAGTCAAATTGCTTATTCCAGAATAACAATGAACGTACGATTCTACTAGGCTATCAGTTTGGCTCGACTCCGTGCCTGGCATCATAGCAGTATAATTCGACTCAAGCAACACCGACTTGGGAATCTGAATTATGAGCAAGAACAACAGGGACAGGGTATGCTCATGTTACCTCCTGGACAGACCATTTGCCCTGGAAGACCTTGAAATCGCCGTCGATCATGTTGAAGGCGGTCTCCCGGCAGCGCGCCCGGGACTCCAGGAGCACCTCCATCTCCCCCTTGTAGCACTCTATGGCGCCCTTGGCGTTGAACTTGAGCCCCAGCGTCAGATACTGCTCCCGGACCTGCACAGGACTCATCCTCGTCACCTCATTGTAGCATCTCACTCTGAAGTCTGATTAGTTTCTTCTCTTTTCTTGATCTGAGAAGAGGCATTATGGCCGGACCAAAGGAAAAACCACATGGAACAACAAAAGTTACACCAAGCAAAAAAAGTGAAATATAAATTTAGGTACTAAATTGCATGAGAAAATGAGAAGAAAATAAAGAAAGAAAAGGCGCAGTCTAGCATATGTTTTGGGGACAAAAGTTAACAAGACAACAAGTTATCCCATGGTCGGATTGGTAACTTGTTCTGAACTACTTTATTGTTCAACTGTATCAAAGGAACTGATAATTTATCTGCTGTATTATATTACAGAATGAATTTGCATACATGTAGAATCATATCAGAGATGACATTACAACAAAAACAACTGGACAAGTGTTTGCTCTCTATGCATTACAGTCAACCATCCTGCCAACATCTTCTAACAAAATTATGTATCGTGAGTTGTCCACTCTTCAATGAAGTAGCAAAAACAAATCCTAAACTGCAAGACTCGGTTCAGGTGAGGTCCCTCCATTGGTTATCCAGCCATGTCAACACAACTGGGGGCCATTCCACATCACCTCGATGCAAGAAGCATGCTGATTTTTGTTTATCTGATTCCCTGTGAGGCTGACACCCATCAGACTCATGGCACTTCAATCACAAGGATCGAACAACATAACTGAAGTCGGGCTGAACATACCTCTGTTAAGTAGCGGACACGGAACTATAATCAAGAACGGCATTGTAAGAAAGCCTTCAGGATTCATCCTAGTTATCACTGAAAATACATGAGATTGAAATGAAAAACGATGTGGCAACAGTGTATGAAAAAAATGGATGTGGTTCCAAGAAGGAAAAATATAAGTGGAGTAGGAAAGTACACATTTCGTCCAAAATGTTTGTATTGGTTATTAAGATTCTAGGATTGTACTAGATGAATACTGAATGACATTTGACGTAATGAAAATGCCTTGCACATGCAAGACAAAAAGTTGAGCAGCTGCGATTGTCACAATTACCTCGTCCAGTAACCTTTGGACCTTCTCTGCTTCTTCTCGGATACAAATAAGGTTGGTTTTGATCTCCTTGCAGATCCTCCCTTCCAGTAGCCGAACTGGAACCCAGAGCTTAGGCTCTAGCTCCACCACATAAGAAAGCGTGGTCTGAAATTCCTGCCCTGATGAAATTTCCCCACCTTCAGTAGCATCATCGACCTACACGGATCGAAGTGGGAACCAGATTACTTGGCAGCATTTCAGAGTCAGTGGTCATCAATTATACCATGATCCATGAACTTCCAGAAACATCAGTTGACCAAACATAGTGCATCTAGAATGCTACAGCACTAGTAATAAAATGAAAGATCTCCCTCTTGTTACGACGACACGAACATATTTTAACACCCTGAGCTGCTTACATGGTGCATCGACACAGATACAGTTGCTCTACGAAATCAGGTGATCCTGCTATGAGGTAAAATTGCAAATTCCAGAATAACAATGAACCTAGGCTTCCACTAGGCTATCAATTTGGCTGTCTACGTGTCCGGCATCGCACCGGAACTTGGGAATCTGAATTCTGAGCAAGAACAACAGGGACAGGGTATGATCATGTTACCTCCTGGACAGACCACTTGCCCTGGAAGACCTTGAAATCGCCGTCGACCATGTTGAAGTCGATCTCCCGGCGGCGCGCCCGGGACTCCGGGAGCAGCTCCATCTCTCCCTCGTAGCAGTCGATGGTGCCCTTGGCGTTGAACTTGAACCCCAGCGCCAGATCCTGCTCCCCGACCTGCAGAGAAACCAAGCATATCATGCGTCAGACCATCGCACACGACCTGCTCGACGAATTGCTTGGGCGAGAGGAGAGGGGAAACCTGGTAGAGGCGGGCGAAGGCTTTGTCCTGGTGGAGGAGGCGGCACTCGGAGAGGCCGGGGATGAATCCGGCGAGGCCCTCGTAGTCGGTGAGCGTGGCCCAGACGGCCTGGAGCGGCGCGCCGACCCGCACCCGCGCGCGCACCAGCCGGCGGTTCTTCTTCCCCGGCAGCTTCCGCACCTCCATCTCGAACCCGTACCGCTCGTCCCGGTCCTCCTCTACCTCCCTGTCCACATATCCCCCCTCGTCGCCGGCGACACCGGGCGCCGGCTCGGAGGACGAGAAGGAGCGCCGGAGGGGGTTCCGGGAGACGAGGCGGATGCGCGCGGGGCTCGAGGTGATGGTGGTGTGGGTCAGGAGGAGGCGGAGTCGGAGGGGACGGGGCCGGACATGGGGGGAGGAGGAGGCGAAGCAGCAAGACGCGGTGGACGGCATGGCCATGGCCGGCAGGCAAAGCTTCCGCCTTTGACTCCTCCACCTGCCGCCCGCCTAGTGGCCTTTTGCTACGGGTACACACATTGTGTCATAATTTTTGGTAGAGACCGTGACACGTGGACGCATATGAATGTTGAATTTGCTCTTATTCTTCTTCTTTTGCCGACCAAATGTTTGGTTTGCTTCCTCGTCTTTTTGCTTAGTTCCACCGGTTGTTCATTGTTTTTGATATATAGCCCACCATTCATGCTGAATGGCAGCTAACCCGAATGAGTCGAAGTTTTCTTTATGACAAACATTTTCTTCCTATATATCTGGGCAAGTCTTCGGAGTCAAGCCAACTAACCAAACTGATCTTCTAAAGTACGGGCATTCCGAGCCACAAAAATTGAATGGACGTCCCATTTTGTCCACGATCACGTATGTGTTCATCAACAATCGGGTGGGTACCGGCCTTCCAATGTCATTTCAGTGCAGCGTTGTCAGTAAGTAGATGTTCACTGTCGCGGTTTTTTTGACATAGAAATATATGACTTTTTTCTTTGAGAAAACATAGGAATATATGACTAGTCTGCTAATCTCAGTTATACGTCCATACAAATTGAATCAGATGCTTTAGAGCCTGTTGGGTAACTCTCCACAACTTTAAACTCCTCAGCCCAAAACCAGCAGCCAACTTCTGTTAAAAATCTTAGGAGTTACAAATCGTTCGGTAGAGTAGCTTCTCGTTCTGGTCAATGAAACAAGCCGCCAGCCCACCTAGCTATGAGAAGTAGCGGCTCTGGAGAAGAAACTGGCTTTTTTTTACGGGTGGAGAAGAAACTGGCTTAGAGGTGGCACATACTTGTAATATTTCGTACGAGCGAACGTACTGTACGCAACTTAAATTACTTAGCGGTGGCATCACATGTAAATTCTTGACACCTCCTGCTTTGGTGTTTCCGAGGAGCTCGAGTTTCCCAGCTCCACGGCTCCCTCAGAAATTACACTTCAAGTTTCGCTAGCTTCTCTCGCCCATAGCCGGGATTTGGACTGTTCAGCTACACCCCTCACGTGGAGTTGAGGAGTTGAGAAGCGGCAGGGCTCCTGAACACGCCTTTAGAGGTTGTTAATGCATGTTCAGGCCAAGAGAGAATGTGAAGCGTGGCTAGAACGATCGGGAATCTTGAGTTCACACATTGCCGAAGGGAAGCAAATGAAGTTGTGCACAATTTAGCTAAATTTTCTTATGAAAATGATGTTTCTTGTAGTTGGGTTGATGAACCCCCGGTTCTTCTTGTAAACTCCTTAGTGAACGATGAGGCGATTTTGCCAAATAATTAAAGGTAGCCATGATGGCATTTCCTCAATAAAAAAGGTATAGTTTGCATGCATGTCGTGATATGTGTGTGTTTCACCCTAGAGCGACTTCAACGAGTCGTATCCGTTTGGGTCGGCTCGTCCGCCCCCTTATGTGTTTGGGTCAGCCCTGCGCCCAACCAGCCAACCCAATTCTCGTTCGCGCAAAAAACAATATGAATTTTAAAAAGGCCCGCGATCATAGACCATGCCATCACTCAGAGTTCATATTGATGCCATGCCAGTGGGCGGCATACATGCCAGCCTAAAAAAACATGTCAGTTCATGCCGGCGCCATTCCAGCGGCCATTGCATCGCCCAGAGTTCTTGCTAGTGTACTTGACAGTGGCCAACACACATGCCAGCACACAAAAAAGGGAGGGAGTTCAACCACGCCATCTCGATCGTTGTGCCTGCATACAAAAAATAGATGGCACTCTCCGCCATAGATCATTCATTGTTGAACTAGATCATGCCGGTCTGTATCTTCTCGAACCAAGGCCTCTTTCTCGGGGACACCGTACCCAAGTCTACATTCATGATCTCCCGCGGGCGTTTCCTCTGCCCCTGGTGGATGATCCACCAACCACCATGTGTAGCATTGAGGTCGATGGCCATGGGCGTGGGTGTGGCCTGCGCGACCACGCTCACCTCCGCGCGAGTAGTCCCCGGAGAAACGGTAGGCTTGCGGCTAGGGATGGAAGCCGGGCGTCTGCGGTGTGGTGGATGTGCGCGGCAACTCTGGCAGTGGCGGACGAGGAAAGGCCAGCTAGTCGGTGCTCAGCGACAGCAATGAGCCTGTGCTGGCCTAGGTTTAACCCTAAGTAGAGTAGGGCCTCCCTCGTTGCCGCACCGAGGAGGGCTTTGTTTTCCTCTTGTTGTGCGGCGGCGGCCAGGGCAGCGGCTGACGCGGCTTCGAGCTTGCCCGGGCTGCACTTGCCTCCGGCCCTTTCTCTTGGCCGACTGCACGGCCCGCTGGGCGTCCGTCAACTCCTTCTTCTTGGTCGGCGCCACCGTTTTACGGAAGCCGCCGGCCTTGCCTTTGATGAAGGCGAGGGAGGCAAAGGCAAGCCCGGCGACAAACAAAAAGCAGACGCACGTTCGTTTGAGTCGATACATTGGGCTGATTTTTGTGTCCGTCTCAATCTAAACAGACCCGCGTGGACAATTTGGGTCGACGCGTTGGAGTTGCTCTTACGCCGACATGCAACTGGATTTTTTTTTTATTTTTTAGAACGGCATGCAATTGGATTAGATGTCGTGTTCAGGACGATTTCGAAATTACGGAGTACAGACGTGTGCTATGTTTGGAAACCCTATGCAAATCAGCACCTCAAGTCGTACGCAAACTACTCGCATCAGATCGGCGGCGGCAATGGCGGCCTCGCTCCCAAACGACGTCCTCTTCGAGATCCTGCTCCGACTGAACGACGCGGCGGACCTCTTCCGCTGCGCCGCCGCGTGCAAGCGACTGCGCGGCCTCGTCACCGATCCATCCTTCCTCCGGCGCAGGTGGCCGGAGCACGAGCGCCCATCCTTGGCCGGATTGTTCATCAAGGATCGGGGCCGTTATCAAGGGTCCAAGGTGCTCGTCCCGACGCCGCGGTCCGAGCTGGGTCCAGGCCGCCGCCGTGCCCTCGGCTCCTTCGTTCCCGGCGTCTCTGGAGACCTATTATACCACGCGGTGCCGCTCTTCTCCATCGTGACCGGCGACGACGAGGAACCACGGGGCAATTCGCCGCTCTTCAAAGTGATGGTCATCACCGTCAGCTGCAAGGACGACCTCAAGTTCTACCTTAACACGTTCTCGTCCGACGAACCGAGCTGGAGCGCCATGCGCACGGTGTCCTTTGGCGCTACCATAGATGCCAACGCCTCCGGGTCGTTCTGCCACAGTGATGCCGTCGTGCGCCACGGCACCGCGCACTGGCTATTTCGTAACGAGACGGCACGATGTTTCTGCCTTGTTGAGGTGAACGCCCAGAACGGCCATGTCTCCTTCACGAGGCTCCCCGTCCCGATGATGACCGAAGTAGATTACCCGTGCCTTTGCTCAGCCACCGATGGCACGCTCTCGGTGCTACACATGCAATGGCAAGGTTCCCATATAGAGATATGGAAACGACGGGAGGACCAACAGAGCGTGCGTACTGCCTCAGAATGGCTCCGCACTGGGACGATCGAGCTAATACAGCCTAGAAAAGAGACTCAAGAAAGGTTATACATTGTGGGAGAGAAGTATGGTAAATTGATCGCCAAGGACAGGCGCGGACGCGTGTACACCGGCAACCTCTCGACCGGGGTAATGGAGGAGGTGGTGGATTGGCCTCGCATGTGCCACATCAACACGCCCAATGTTGTGCCCTTGGAGATGGATTGGCCAGCGTTCTTTGTTTCTCGTCTTGGTACCATAAGGTATAGCCAGCCATCCTGATACGTGTCTTTCTTGGTTTGTTTTGCAGAACTGGATGGGATTGAGCATTGCTTCTACTGTTACATGACTCAAGTCAATGTTGTTTATTTTACCATGTCTATATATTTGATGACTTCCTCCCAAGAAAGGTATATCTCACGGCTTGGTTTTGTTTGTGCTTTTGTTTTTCTACTAGTAAGCTGGCACGTGCAATGCACGTCTAACAAAGTAGAAAATTATTGCAGAGAAAAAAACATCTTATATCAATTTCCGGATGCAAGATTTAACCAAATAATTGCAGAGAAAAGTAGGTAAGATTTCGGAGCCTCTCTACTTGCAAATTGCAATGCACAGACAAGCATCTTTTTTGTGAGGAAACAAAGACAAAAGCGTCTAATCGATGTACTAATAAATAACTGGTCATCTAAAAATCTACTGTAGTTGCTAAGTTTATGCATACGTTTTTAGCATTATGGCAATCTTGGAGGTGGCTATATGCTTTATCTATCCCTACTTGAATGAGTTGTAATCATCTCATGCATCAGATACAATTATATTTATGTGAATCAAATTGATTATACAAAAGTATAATGTTTTGTTTCGTCACAAAAAAAGCACAATATTCCATTCATGAAATCCCAGGCCTCTTTTGGTTCATAGGATAGGATTATCATAGGAATAGGAATCTTGTAGGAAATGAGATGACATGTATCTCAAATCCTATGAGTAGGAATAGGAAACAAGATGTCATTTGGTTGACACCAAAGGAAATTTTCCATTGAGTCTAGGCTCTTTTTTTATTTTCCTATGAAATGTGGAGGATAGGAACCAATCCTATGTAGGAATAGAAATCCATTCCTATGAACCAAATGGCTCTAAAGGAAAAAAATCCTATAAAAATCCTATCCTCTAGAATTCCTATGAAATTCCTCTAAACCAAAGGAGGCCTAGTATGCACACACAAAAAAGCAAGTATATCCATATTACATCGCAAAAACAAGTATTTTAGTATTACTCCCTCCGGTCCTTTTTACTCTGCACATTGGATTTGCTGAAAGTCAAACTTTGCTAAGTTTGACCAAATTTATATTAGAAATTATTAGCATCTATAATATCTAATAAATATAATATGAAAATATATTCCAAGATGAATCTAATGATATTGGTGTTGTTATGTGAATGTCTATAATTTTTTATATAAACTTGGTCAAAGTTGGATGAGATTGACTTCGGACAAACCTAATATGCAGAGTAA